GTCAAGTTTGGATTTTCATGGGGCTTCTTGGGGATTCATATACATCGTGTTGTCCCCGTCAAAACCTAGGAGTTTCGTCGGATTCGGAGCCGTTTCAATTCGGTGGAGATTTGGGATTTTCATCTCAAATTGAGGTAGGGGATGTTTTAGGGTTATATTAATGTTGTATTGATTGTTATATGAGCATATACAACTTGTGAGCATGCCTTGTTCAAGTTATAGAATTTAATTTAATTATTTTCTTTGTTTAAGATTTAATTCTCATGATGCTAGACAACTTAGAATTAAATTGTGGCATGCTAGAAATTTAGGCCTTGGTATGGTGGTTGATATATATTAAATTGGGGTTATTTGAATAAGAATTGCAAATTTTATTTAATATTTATCTTTTGTGAAAGTTTAATTCACCTAATTGTATCAAGCATGGAATCAACTTGTAATGTGATATTAAAGTAGGCATTGGTGAGTTTTTTAACATATATTAAATCGAAGACATTTGAATATGTTTGAAAATCTAGAGAAAAAATTAATTAATGAGCTTAATTAATTTTATTTTAAGTGTGTTGGTCACTTAAATTGATATCGGAGGTAATAGGTTATTAATCTCTTGAAACGTGGTCCGTTTAATCACCTTGTGAGCATATTACAAATTTGATGTAGAATTAGTACTTGAGGCATCTTGAAATGGTAATTGGACTTAGCATGATATAGAATATCATTGACTTGCATAACTTGTTTAGATATATCTTGTGTGGGTGTATAGCTTGTTAGAATATTACAATTGTTTACCTTGGAAGCTAATTACTAAATTGGGACTTATTTAGTACTTGTGGCTTAGTGTGGTAATGTGGTTCAATTGTTGTAAAATATTCTTGTTTTGGGGTATAAATTGCATATTGGAGGCTTGCCATATCATATGCTATCTAGACTTGAATTCTAGGACATGGTTTGTGTGGATTCAACCTTATTTGTGCATGGAAGATGGCTTTATGCATTAGTGGATTTGGTATAAGTTTGGTCTAACTTATTGATTTTTGTATAAGTTTTGGACTTATTGATTTTGGAAAGCTTGTAAGGACATATTTCACGTGATGGCTAGGGTTTGGCTCTAGTACGGAGACAAGAGTCTTCTAAGTCATAAGTGCGCACTAGGTAGTACCTTTTGGGTTGTAATTGCCCAGAATAACTTATGTATGTGCGCACTAGGTAGTGCCTTGTGGGTCGTAATTACCCGGAAACACTTGCTTGGTCTAGTGACCACATGTCCTAGTCTTTCCACTTTGATTTCGCATTCAATTTCAAGTTGAGAATTAATGCTTGCTTTGGATATATGAATCTTACTTAGTATACTTGAAACTGTATACTTGTTTTGTGCATTTAGATCTCATATAGTGTACTTGAACTTGTATGCTTGCTCTTTGAGTTTAGATTTCATTAGTATGCTTGTGCCGTGTATACTGGTTTTAGGCGTATCTCTTTTAGCTTAGTATACTTGTATTCGTATACTTGATTTACGAGATTTTCATATAAAATGCATACTTGTGTAAATATGCTTAGACATTGCATGAATTGTCTTAATGTGGTTTAGTATACTTGGAAATGTATGCTTGTATGTTGTATAACGTGTTTAACATTATTTAGTATACTTGAGCATGTATACTTGTACGCCATTGTTCACTTTAAATTGCATGAGTAGCTTAGGATGCTTTCTGAGTCTCATTTTGATATAGACGTTAGGTGGCCTGAGTCCCTTTGACATGTTTCACCTTAAGGTGATATAATTGTAAAATGCTAGGTCGATGCATGCTCATCTCCTACGAGTAGCTTTATGTTACTGACCCACGTAATGGGGACATTTTTCAGGTACCGGGATCAAGATTTGGGATTCACATCATGCTTGGATAATTTGTAAACTTGAAGTTCTCATTTCATATATATGTTGGCTTGAAATGCTATTTATAGTTTTATATGTCAAAATATGTAAAATTGATTTCATTTTTGCCTTTTTGCCTGTTGGGGGGTCGGATTTTGTATCGATGGTATTTTTAAGTTGTAGACCATTATAGCACGTCCAAATTGGTAAGTTACGTTTGCGTGCATGGTCATTTCTGGGCAAAATCTGATCGTTTGTGTTTTGAGCTTCCTATTAACTCATTTTGAAGTTTTGTTGCATAATCTGATTTTGAGGGCACTTTGGGGTTTTTCTTCGGGAAATAAATTACGTTCTTGACATGGTCACTTAGAAAACGTGATTTTAGGGGGGGTTTCTTCTTCGTATTTTTCCATAAAATGTTGTCTTGGTACCGGAAATCCCGTGCAAAGTTCAGTTTTTCTGCTATGCTATAGTAGCTTTTTTTCAACTTCTTGCCCTTTCCTGATCTAGGGGCATTCTAGGTACTTTATAGTGTTTCTTTTTTCATTTTCGTCTGCAATCTGGGTAGAAAATGTGATTTTAGGGGGGGTTTCTTCTTCGTGTTTTTACAAAAAAAATTATCTTGATGCCGAAAACAACTCGCAGATCTGGAAAATCTGGTCGTTCCAGGTTTTTCCGGAAAAAGTGCTGATCTAAGGGGCATTTCAGGTATTTCACTTGAAAAATAAAAACTTCTCTTGACATATTCATGTAGAAAACATGATTTGGGGGGGGGGGGGGGGGTGGGGGGGTTTCTTCACAACTTTTTGCCCAAAAATGTCATTTAAGCCCTCAAAATCCCATTTGAATTCAGAAAATGTGTGCAGGCCCTGCTCATACTTGAAACCCAGAAAGTCTAATTTTTTGAAACTTTGAGGCTTCATATCTTCATCATCTGGACTCTAAATCAAGTGATTTTTGAGTCTAAGTTTATTAGTTTTTGCTGGTCTATATAACGGTATGCATGGTTGCATCAAATTATATATGAAAAGACCATTTTACCTCTTGTAAAGTACCCTTGCCGCACTGATTTTAAATCCAAAAGTTGGTTTTTATGAAACTTTGACGTTTCATATCTTCTTCGTCCGGACTCCGAATCAAGTGATTCTTGAGTCTAGATTCATTAATTTTTGCTCTTCTATCTAACAGTATGCTCAGTTGCATATAGTTTGGTCTAAAAGGACCATTTCAACCCATGTAAAGTACCCTTGCCACATTGATTTCAAACCCAAAAGTTTGATTTTATGAAACTTTGAAGTTTCATATTTTCTTCATCCGGACTCCGAATCAAGTGATTCTTGAATCCATTTTGATTATTTTTTCATTGTCCTTCCAGCGGTGTGCTCGGTGGCACCCGAGTCTACAGTTTTTAGAAATGACTATTTTGCCCCTGGGGGCTTATTTGTCATATTTTTGGTCTTTTACTTCCGCGCCAGTTCTCATTGAGTTCCACGACCTCATGGAAGGTCATTTTGACTTCTTAGAGTCTTGTTTTCTGTTTTTCGCTTCCATATATCGTATCCGTTATCGAGTCAATCTTCGGTTCATCACAGGATACGCTGGCCTAAAAACTAGGGTCGTCACAGTTTGGACCTTGACAAGTCTCCTGACAGCCATGGGATGCTGTCAGCGTGCACTAGGTGTACCTAGCGGCATTTTCGTAAATATGGCGAAAAGTGAAATTTGGGGTTTTGGCTTGGCAACTTTATGGGAGGTACCTTGAGTCCATAAAAGATGGTTAGCGCAGACGGCACTCAGTTTGGATGTCAGGAAGGGTCTGAAAGGCCATTATGACTCCTCAAATATAGGTGATGTTTACTACTGTCAAAGTGCTGATATCCCTAAGGACTATACTAGGGAGAGGGTCGTTGGAGTATAGCAGTTAGGCTATGGCATGGCTTGCTTAGAGGGCTTAGCCAATGTGCATGGGCACGTGTTGCACCACTCCAAGATGCTTGCACAAGAGGGGAGTATCAAAACTACCAAAGGGCAAACAAGTGTGACGCGCAGCATGGCGCGCGCGTGCACAGAGGCATCAGCGCCCGGGCGTGTAAGAGCGCGCGTGCTTAAAGGCATTAGTGTGCACGCAGAGACATCACTCACGCGCACAGTGGCATCAACACACGCGCAGAGACATCCCGTGCGCGCGCGCACAGAGGGGCATCAGCGTGCGTGCCAAGGCGCGCAACAAAGCGCGTGCGCGAGTATGCACTCGGGCGTGCAGGGTTTGGCACGCAGTGCACTCAGAGGCATTTATATGTGGGTGCAGATTAGTGGGCCTGGCATGGGTTAGGTTCACAAGGTTGGCTCAGATGTTGCTTAAAGCATGGACCACATAAGTCATGGACGTGTGGCATAGTCAAGTCATGGACGTGTGCACAAGGCAGTGGGCATAGACAAGACCTAGTGTGTAAGGGTGACTTAGGGGACTCAACACATGGCTTATGGTTACAGAAAATGGCTAAGTGGGCTCAGGCGGTTATGGGCAATTATTAGCACTTCCCACTCATGTGCATATATTATGGGGAGTGGGGGTGTGCTGAGTAACTTCCCATGCACGTGGCACAGTTCCGAGAGGATAACACACAGGTGGTTGGGGTCGGTTTTCCTCCACTATGCTGATATATAGATAAGTGGCAGATGATGGATAACCTCCTGTGGACCAGTGGCATGTGTTGAGTATGCCAACAAGTTAGCAGTTGGGCTTGTCAACTGCATATGTAGTGCTGGCACACTTTGGGGGTGCCAGTACGACCCTAGGTGGATGGGAGTGTCATCCACTACTTTAGTGGACAGTTATGGGCGGTTTTGAGAGTTTGTTTATATATAACTAATGTGGGTCCTGTAGAGAGGGCAGATTGAGAGTGAGATAAAGAGTTGTGTTGTCAGAGACTCTTATATGCTTTTGCAGGTTGAGGCCTTTTCTTGTACTGTTTTGTGAATAATAGTAAAAGGTCGGAAGCCTTGGCCTTTTGTAAATTCGTGAGTGTTTTTGTCTTACATTTTTGTGAATAATAGGCAGCAAGTGTGACTATTAAAAATTTAAAGAAAAGTTGTCGATATTTCTCGCTAGTGCCATCACATGCCACTCGTGTTCAGAATTTACCGGTGACACTTGGTATAGTAGATAGGGAGGGTGTATAGACTCTCCTCCATGTGTAGGAAATGGACTTGGCGTTTGCTTCTTCTCTTCAGTACCCTCTAACTGGAAACAGATCCGTCGGTGCGAAGGCGAAGACTTTTGTCTCAACACCAAATGCGGAGAGAAATCTGTCATTTCGATGTTTGGCAAGGGAAGTAGCCATCCAACATAGGGCAAGGGTAGGGTGGGTTACATATATATTCTTCTTCTTCTTCATTATTAAGGAGTAATAATAATTACGAAATTGGTGGTGTTTACTGAATCAATCGCGAAAGGGCGTTATTTGGTTTTCCATTCCAGGACCAGGAGAATGTGTTTGAGATAGAAAACAGAAAACAGCATCTGCTGAAAGCCATCCAAGAAACACAAAGGGGCCTTGTGACCACTGCCCATCAACGTTCCTCCATTGAGGAGGCCCTAGTATGCACTTGTGCTTTCATTCTTTCCTCCTCCTCCTCCTCCTCCTTCTTCTTCTTCTTCTTCTTCTTCCTTGAATTGAATTGAAATCAATCAATCTCAAATCTCAATCTCAATTTCAATCTCAATCTCGCAGGTGAGCGTGGAGAGTTACGATTCCGGTGAGGGTGAGCCAATCGATCTGAACAAGTTGGACGGGACGTGGCGTTTGCAGTATACATCTGCCCCCGATGTCCTCATTCTTCTAGAAGCCGCCGCAAGGCTTCCCTTCTTTCAGGTCATCGTCATGTTCTACAACCCTTACTTACAATTTATTTATTTTACCATTTGTTTTGGTTTATTCATTGCAATGAGTTTCCAATGTACATTTAGTCTCTATAATATATCAAAACATTGACTGATTTTATGCCAATACTTTATTGTTTTTCTATCTTGCCATCAAACTTTGACTATATTTTCTCATTATTCTTCCTTTTTATTTATTTTCATATCACTTTTCTGGAGCCAGGTTGGCCAAATTTTTCAAAAATTTGAATGCCAGGGTCAATCTGATGGAGGTTTCGTGCGCAATGTTGTCCGGTGGAGTATCCCAAACTTGTTAGAGGTCAAATTATTTTTTTCTTTTTTTAATTTCTTTATTATTGTGTTTGTATTGCCATGTTGATTAGGTTGTTAATTTCAAATCAAGACTTTGGAACCATGCTAGAATTTCTTGTGTATGATGCCACTTCACATTTGAACACTTCCTTTGCCACATGGGATAAGCCGTTCAAGTATGGCCAATAAGAAGAAAGCATGTGGCGAGTTTCAATGGAACTTGCTACACTAGATCACAATTTCAACAGACTTGGAAAGGAAGGTCATAATGAAGCATTACTATATGACTTCATGTGAATAATTCAAGGCAAAGACCATTAAGCCAATTGTGTTTCGCCACATGGAGTCCATTAAATTAAGGGTGTGGCGAGTTCCATAGAACTTACCACACCGGATCAATATTCCAATAACCTAGAGAGAAAGAGATTACATGGAGATAATACCATACATGCATCCTCACTTGATTATTTAAGACATGACACATGTAACCACTCAGCCTTTGCCACATGAAATTTATGAAATTATGATATTTAAACCAATAAGAGTCTAAGAGAACAACACATGGCGAGTTCAATGGAACTTTATGTTGATCCTCTTAAGAACTAGGGTTTTGAAAAAGAACCATTCGGATGACACCAAGTGTCACCAAAATAATTCGAATCCACATGGCATAAGACTGCCATATGGAAATTTCTAGGATAAGTCAAGTTTAAGCTGACCAACTAAAGGAAGAAAGTGGGAATTCGGTTCTACAATTCCTCCTTGGTGGGATGTTCTAACAAAACCATGCAACCATTATGTCCAACTGCATTGAATCTTTATGCTAGATCAAAGCAAACTTCTAAAAATAGGAACCCACAATGTGGGTGATCAATCAGAAAAATAGGGAATCGAATAACTATATATATATATATATATATATATCAAATCCACGCATGCAGAGAAGAAGTTGCTTGATCGTGGAAGATGTGATGCTATAGAGGCGTGTTAAGAGAAAAGTCCTACCAAAGGAGGAGTTACCAATGTTGAGGAGAACGTGCATATACAATGACAGATACATATGTGTATAGTATATATGCAGATTAGGGTTTTATGAGGATAAGGACTCTGCGCTTAAGGAGGAACCACCAAGGATGTGGTATACTTGGCAGCATACAAGCGTGCCAAATGAGGATTGTTAGTGTTTCATGCAACTTCAATCATCAACTGATAGAAGTGGCTTGGATCATGGACAACGTGGTTGGAATTTAGATATAATGTGTTTGAAATAAAGGAAGATTGATATAGTGAAGGGAAGAAAACTGCTAAGACTGGGTCACTTGGCAGTCCAAGGACAAGCTAAGTGGAAGGCTTAGTTGCTATTGGAACTATACCTCAACTGCTGGACAGAAACTCTATAAATAGAGCTCTTAGGCTTAACATGCAAACCCTATTCAACACACACAACAATACATCACTTTGCTTATCAATTTCATGTATCTTTACATTCCAGTAATGTATTTCAATTATGTTTAATACAAGTCAAGTACTTTCTTTTCTTACTTTCCAGCAAGTAGTTCATAGTCTTTCAATTACAAGTCCTGCACTTTCAATTTCGTTCTTCTTTCCACTAGCACTAGAACAGTCCCGAATTCCTTTTTCAAGGCAAAAAGAACCCCTGGAAGTGGTCATTCCAAGCTTCCTTTCAATCGCCTGATCTCGACAACTTTCCATTGGAATATTGTTTGGAGCTCCACTTTGGAATGACAGTAGTTCCTGGCATGCCCACAACCCTTTCCATTCACACAGAAAGGACACGACTTTTTGTGAGCCAAACACTTATATTTTTATAAAAGAAAAGGTCCTTGAAATTGTTGTGTTATTTCTCAAAGTTTTGAACCAACAGCTTCATTCCTTTGCCATTATTAGTTAGCTTATTTTTGGTCATTTCCATGATTATAAATCATATTTGTCTTGGCACAATTGGAAAGGGAATTCACTTATCATTCTGGAAGTACTCCTTATAAGTAGGCTTTCATTTAGGAACTAATAGTATCTCTTTTTTCTGTTTTCTTGTTAAGGATCTCCACTTGAGGGATTCTTCGTAAATGTATTATATTTTTTAATCTTTTGTTTTATGCCATTTCTTTATACCCTGCATTGTACTATTTGCATTGAAACTAGTTTTCATTCTCAAAGACATTTCAGTTTCTACTTTCTACGGTTTTATTCCATTCACTTTTCTATTTGGAATATAAATAACCATGGAAGAGTGAGAACCATCTCTTTATTTATCATTATTATTATTATTATTATTATTTTTATTAATAAATGTATTTGAAATCATCTAGTTGCCAAACCAAATATGGGGACTTTGTTTGATAAGGGCTAGTTTTTAGTAGCTGCAGATATCAAGTGTTCGTACAGTTGGATGGTAACTTTAGCCACTGCTGTATTCATCAGAACACATCAACACTAACTTTTTTATTAATTTTTTTTTTTGGCAAATACATCAATACTATTTCTGGCTTGATCCATCCTTAATCTTCCTTCTGTTGTCATCTTGTTTTGTCATGGTTGATTTGATTCATTCAAATGCCTACTGAATTATCAGTATGCTTGATTTCTAGGAAGCATTGAGTTCAATGATTTCGGGGCCGTGGTACATGGTTAACTTGAACAGGAAGAGTTTAATATTCTTAAGTGAGATTCCATGGTGAATTGTTCTTGATTTTTGGAAAATTCTGTTGAGGTTTGCGGGTGTCAACAAGGGCGTTTGCTAACTAGAAAATGTCACTTCCTATTTAGCTTCTATTTTAGTTATGCTTTGTATCATCTCGATGGTTCTTGTTTCCTGTCTGCGGGCATTGGTTAATGACTTTCTTAATTGTCCTCTTGTGATAAGAGACAGAGTCAGAAATCTTATATTTTGGAAAGGGGGTTTACATCTCTCCTTTCCTGAGACTAAAGCCCTGTTTGATACCCTCATTCAACACTTCAAACTGAACAGATCAGGTTACTTTTAGCATACCACTTAGAAAATAAACCACCCTTCAAATAGGCCAAAATTTTAAGCGATAGAAGGGTAGCTTATCAACCCAGAACACGTTCAGAGGTATTGGGTTTTAAAACTATTTTCTTATGGCCAACTTTACCCTCAAATAATCAGAACACGCTCAGAGCACAAGACGTTATTCACGTTCTCTCCTCTCAAGCCTCAACAATGTTTTTCCTTTGAACTCTCTCTTTACCGCCTCTCTCTAGGTCTTCCCTTTGTAATTTTTCTCTAATTCCAACCCAACCCATCATCCTCAGGAAATTAATATTCAGTGTTAAAATTGACATATTTGTTTCAATGAAATTGATTGTTGTTTTACTTTTTTGTATTGCAAAAATGTTATGCTTGTTAAAACGTTATTATTATAGGTTATTGAGGGTTACAATGTAATCTGAACAATTTTCAGATTTGAGTTTATTTATTATTTTTTAAATAAAAGTATATTAGAGCGTTCAAAAGGGGAACGCATCCCCGAAAGCTATACAAGGGCTGAAGCTAAAGAGAGTGTCCTAGGGACCCAAAGAATCAAAAAATCCACAATTTCATCTAAAACTATACAATTTCTCCTTATCACCCAGCTAAAAAGAGAACTAACAATAGTAAATTTTAGTGCCCCCAATGGAAGACTCCTCCCCATCAAAAGATCTTCTGTTTTGTTCCTTCCATATGACCAAACACAAAGGGGTGTCGCCCTCCAAAAATCATTGGTGCGCCCCCCCCCGCGGCGTATTGTAGCCTTTCTAGACTTTAATGGATGCCGAACAAACCAAAAATAAGACTCCAGCAATCACGAGCCACGGACCAATGCAAAAGAAGGTGATCCACAGACTTTCCATCATTTTTACACAGGCAACACCAGTTGGTGATCTGTCTTCTCTTTCTTAGATTGTCCAAGGTCATAATCTTGCCCCAAATTGCAGGCCAAACAAAAAAGGCCACTCTGAGAGGAGCCTTCAAGTGCCAAACTGTCTTCCACAGGAAATTAGAACCATAAAACCCGGAAAGGCAGAGGAACAAGGAGCAAACCTCAAACCACCCCTAAGGAGAAGGCACCCAAGCCAAAGGATTAGAGCCTCTACCATCCACCTCTTGTCTATACAAAAAATCCAACAGGCCATAAACATCGTCCAACTCTCAATCCTGAAAGAAGCGCCGAAATCGCATGACCCACGTAAGCCTACCACTATCAAGCTGATAACAATATGCTACTATGACATGTCTATTTACAGCATTCTTGAAGAGTTTTGGGAACAAACAAGACAACGGGCGATCACCACACCAAGGATCCTCCCATAACTGGACATCCCTACCCTCTCGAGCTCTGAATCTAATGTGCTTAGAAAACTCATCCCAGCCTTTCCGAATGAATTTATACAACCCCACACCAATAGTAGATCTGACTGGCCTAGGACCATCCCCCCCTTCCCTAAAGTGACACGAAATAACCCTCTTCCATAAATGATGCCTTCCGCTATCGAACCTCCACAACCACTTACCAAGGAGAGCCTTGTTGGAGGGGACCAACCTACCCAGGTGAAGAGGCCTACGAACTTGCTCCCACCGGACAAGATGATACTTCAAGTCCTCCTCCGTCCGCCCCGGAGGAAGTTCCGTTGGAGACTCTCAAGTGAGGAAAGAATCTGGAAGAGAGAGAGAAAATATGTTGGACGACTTGACAATATACTCTTCACAAGAGTAACCTTCTCGCCCTTCGAAAGATACTGCTTCTTCCACCAGCCAATTTTCTCTCAAATCGCTCAATCACTGGATCCCAAACTCCCACCCTCCTCGACGAAGCACCAAACCCACATAAGGAATAGGGAAGGAACTCGTCCCACCCCTAGAACCGCAGCAAGAGAAGCCACCTCCTGAACCTCCCCAATAGGGACCTTACCCACATTAACTTTCAAACCTGAAATTGCCAAAAAACAAACTTGAACGCCTAAAATATCTCAGTTGGGATACATCCA